TCCCTAATAGAAAAGACCCCAATTCTTCTCAACACTTTGAGGTGTTAAAAAGACAACATAATGAACGGGAAGGCTAAAGCAATGTTTCATTCTCCAATGCTCTATTAACAAACAAGAAGAGTGAGTATGAAGGAATATATTTACATTTAAAATATTTTGAAGCAAACATGAACTTCTTTAGAGGGAAAAATAAAATCTCATTTCTAAACTTTTAAATCGTAAACTGAAGTGCCCATTACAAAAAGTTAGGGCTGTGCTGTCGTTCAAAATGACTAAATTATCCTATCTAAAATGACCCTAATTAAAATTAATATATAATTTTTCCAGCGGGATGACTTGTACTCTTCACTATCTCGGCCTTCCATCATTGTATACCTTAGAGGAATGACCAATAGCCAGAAAGAAAGAAGAAAATCAATTACTTGTAATGTTTACACTCGACCCGAAGAAGTTAACAGGCTTGTTTATTTTTTAATCAGCACTAAGCCGTAACAAAGCCTGCAGGGGAACAAACCCCAAGAACCTACAATTGCCACTTCTCTGCTATCATAAACTGATGCCCTATTCCCTGAGATCAGATCTTACTACTCAGATGCTGTCCCCCTCCTGCCCCCCCCCCCCGCTTTTTTAACTTGACATCTAAAGGACAGCAAGATAATAGAGCTGAACTACACCATCTTAGAAAAAGCTACTTATGCACAAAACCACTCTTTTGCAATATGGTAAAATGCATTGCTCAGTGATTAGTGTACTCCATGCACAATGAAACGTACAATTCTTAATTGTAATAGTTTTCTTTACCTGCGTACCAGCATCTTGAGTTTCCTTCCTCCATTTTTTCAACCCAAGATTCATTCCAGGAGTGGGCAAAGTCAATAAGCAAAACCAGCTGAATAAGAATAAAGCAGAAGGCTCCAGCCATACCTACGTAAAACCACACTAGAAGAGAGAAACAAAGCCAAATCAGTTCAGGACCACAGATATCTTACCCCCTTCTCTTTATGTCTGTCTTTAAACACAGACAAGAGTTATATTTATGCAGCTGCAGTAAAAACCAAGATACTAGCATGTACTTAACTTTGTTTTAAAACAATTATGATTGCACTACGAGACAACAGAAAGTAATATTCTCTTACCAGTAGTAAAAGGCCCCTCTGGGATGAAGAAGGCTCCAACACTGATGGCTAGTGCTGTTGCAAATTTAAAGAACCAGAATCTAAAGAAAGAAAAAAGTCGGACAACCATTACGGTCTGCTGTACATTGCAAAAATTTCAAGAGCACACAAAATGCAAAGCAGTGAACTTTAAAACCTTGTCACTTGCATCTTAAAAAATCAATTTAGAAAAACTTTAATCTTACTTCTTTGGAAATAAGATAAAAGTCTTTTCTACCTATTCGCCCCTCCCCCGGAAAACAATGCTTAAACTGTTCTAGACTAACAGGGAGTGTAACAGTTATTTTCCATAGATATGCCACTGATCTATTACACATGAAACTAGGGTGGAGTATAATTGCAAGGGCTTTTTTTTGTATTGCATTTTGGGGAAGGAGCTAGGGTTTTTTTGTTTCACGAAGCGCAGTATTTATTAAAAAAGTCATACATTTTTAATGAAAATTTGCAACGACGTCATCTTAAGTTCATTGCTTAGCTGCCAAAATAATTGTTTCTATTAAATAACTGATAGTTGATTTTTTTAATCATCTAAATCATTTTCCCTTAAACTTAACGGATGGATAGCACATCGGTAGTACTCTGGGACTGCTTCCATGCTGCTGTTTTACAAAGACTCTGTCAAGTGCAGGACTACAGCACTTGACATTCTAGTAACAAGAAAACAAGCAGTCTTGCAGTATTCATGTGATAGTGCTGGAGACTTGCAAGGAAAATCATCATGTACAAATACATCTGACATAAAACATCCCATGGAAGAAGTAGGAAAGAAGCAAAGAAAGTTTTGTCTGAAGACTTAAGTTGCCACAAAGGTGGGGGGAGGAGGGGAAAGCATAAGCAAGTCATGAGAAAAATTAGGTTTTTAACCAGAACAGTAAGATTATTGAAGTGCTCACAGATCAGAGTAATGGGTTAAAAAAAACTACCTATTTTTAGTATGAAAACCAAAAAGTTAGAAGGTGTGGTTGGTGCCTACAATAATAGCAAACTTTATGCTGTAGTTCCCCATCAATCTCACTTCAGTTCCCATGATACAGAAACATGCAAAAGCCCAGATTCTTCCCACCTGACTTCATACACTTTAGGCCTACATCAGGTGGGGATTTATCACAGCAACAAAACTGAAGGATTTATCCTTGACGGAAAATCCATTATCAAATTCTAAGGCCCTGTTCCAAAGCAGTAGCACTGGATTTTTTCCAGCAAAAACATGCATTCATGGACAAACGGAACAGTTTAGGTGTTTCTAGATTTTCCTAGAAAGGAGACAGAGAAATATTTCCAAAGAGACTCCCCACCTCAAATACAGACTGTATTCAAATATGCTGCAAAGGGAAGTTCTAATTGAAAAGGTATGCCTAACAAACCTTTAAGAAGGTGAAGACAATTTTTTGCGACCTGAGTGGCAGGTAGCTCCAAATATAGGCATGATACCAACTACATGTACTTCAAAACTAAACAGAGTATAGAGACATGTACCACAGCCCAGGCAATAAGCAGCAACGCCCAACAGCTTCTCAAGTTTTCTATCCCCTCTCATCTTTTCACACACTTTGGACACCATCACCTGATTGTAACAACCAGAAGGAGAGATTACACTGCTTCACAGGAATAAATTTCAATTGTGTGGAAGGGAACTATGTGAAATGAAAAGAGAAGTGCAGAATACAAGAAACAAGGATTATGCTGGGATACAAAAAAGGTGATCAAATCCAGTTCCAAAGCTGAGTTGACTTAGAACATTTATTCTATAATCCACACCCTACTAAAACTAGTTTTTAAAACCATGTATGGGTATTTTTATATCAATGTCATTCTTGATTATAAAAGAACGAACAGGTTCCAGTTTGCCTACGTTTTATCTCTAATGCCAGACCTTTTCAAAGGATCTTAATGCTCTATCTATATAGCTTGCATGACAGCTGAAAAGAAGACTTATCTGAAATAGTACTCACAGTTGCTATGCATTCAGTGCAAGCCAGCAATAATCTTCTGAACACCTTATAACTGGGTTCTTATTTTTTAATTATCCTAACGTAAGAAACCATTCTATTTGCTATTATAAAAGCTAAGAAAGTACATACTGGCACATCTACTGGGCTTAACTTGCGTACAGGTGCAGAAAAGTTAGTAAGTATACATGGGCAAACCTAACATTCCGAATTCTTCAAATCGTGGACAGAAAGATTACATTGCAAAGTATTACTGAAGATTCAAACAACTCCAAAAATAAACGCTACAATTTTATAAGTAAATATGTCATGTGAAAATACTACCACCTCAGCTTTCACCAGGTGTGAGGAAAAAGAGATGCTTCCAGGTTTCAACATGGTACTTAAAATACCACTGTTAGGTGTTTCAGTAATTACTGTAAAAAATTATCTGCAAAATATTGATATAGAATGTACCTGATCCACTTTCTTCTTGCTTGTAACAAGCATTTTCTAAACTGACAATTATCTGTGGAGGTAATGGAAAGATATACGGGTATGCTCTCTGAACAAAGAGCAGGGTGGTGTGAAGCAGAACTGAGTTACCACTGCCAAAGCATCACCCCAACAACTATGTTACCAATAGCGTACCCAGCATCTCCTTATTTAGGCCTAAGCAAATAAAATATGTAAACTAAGTAGTATTTTGCTCAGTCTTAATTATTTTCTCTTCCCTACAGAATCATTTTGAAAGTATTACTCATTTTATGCTAGAGAGTCTTAATTTTCTTGTTATACTGAACATAAAATAAAAACAAAATGACCTCTCCATCTTGATGGCTCAGCTGTTCGTAGTTCCCTGTTAAGTTGAATCATCTTGAAAACGGTACTGGTCTGAGCAATCTGTGATCACTAAGACTAAGCATCACAAAGAGCGTGTGGCAGAAAAAAACCTAAAACCGTAACAACAGTTTGCACCCCCTTGGTCTAAGTAGTGACACCACACATAGTTTCCTTCCAGGCTGAACCTATCACTTGCGTCAACCCAGAAGCTGAAATTTCACTATTACCTTAAGTTTTATAACATAACTATAATAAAACAGAAAAGGAAAAACTGGGAAGCTCGAAAACTATATAATACATCACTTTTCTTTATGCAGAGGAGGAAAGCAAAGAGAAGAGAGCAGAGGGGAAGAGATATGGAACATAAACTAAATAATAATAATAATTCTATCCCTTCGTTCATTTTCAAAATAGAATTGCTCAGCTGAGATCAACCCTTACAAACTTCAAAGTTAAGATGAATGCAATTCCTAGTGGATGGAAGAGGTTTTTATAAGCTTTTTGCATGTGGAAAGGTCACTGTGGAATGAAACTTAATACCATTAGGCACCTTTGAATTTTGTCATCTTTAGACAAAAGCAGAACCTCTAATCTTGGGAAACCTCTGGACAGATTACCCATTGTCATAGCCGAGCCTTTGAAAACTGAAAGCCACGTGCATCTTTTCCTCTTATAAAAATTAATCTGGCATGTCCAAGAACTCTAATAACTTGGAATGTCCTCTACTGCAACCAGACTCTTTTAGCTACTAAGAAATTATTTGTTACCGAACAGTAAATTTGCTTAGCCACAGGCTTTATTTTCACAGTAGCTGTATCACACATACCGTCTCAGTTCTCATTTCTGTATCTTACCCATTGTGCACCGCTGCTCGTGGGTCATTGCTGCTTTTCACTTTGATCATCAATAAGGAGAAAAGAAGAAAGAACATGGCCATACCAAAACACACACGGTACACTGCTTTGTAACCAACTAATACATCGCAATTCACATGGCCATGCACACCAGGAATAGTTGTTCCGATCCCTCCATCACAAAATCCAGGAATCTGTGATTAACACAAGATATTTCAGTGATCCATAAAAGACCTTATGTCAGGAAAAACATATTAGCAATTTATTAGTATACAAATCATTAATACTGTAACATTATGCAACTACTATACATTGCTAAAGAATGTGATACTGAGCAGCTGTGTAATTATAAACCCAATCTAACCAGAATATTAAACCCACTCAAAGCCTCCCCCCCTCCCCAAAAAAAAATCCTGGGTAGGTAAATTCTCCGCAAAAACAAACCTTCCCGATAAGATGCATTTTTTATTCATTTCAGAACTTCTCAAAGAAAAGCAGTTTTCACTCTTTGATCTGAATTAGGAAATAACGAATAAAAGAAATACTAATTGTCAAGACAAATGTGCCCTATCAAGTTCATGAGTTAGCTAACAGAAGGCAGCCTGCTTATGTCTTTTTAAAATAGAAACAATCTTTTCCCTAAAGGTAACATTACAATCAGTTAGAAATATGTACAACAATTAAAACAGCTGAAAGTATCTTTTCCAGTTATATCCAGGACATGAGCAAGACCTTTGAATTCAAATAAAAAAAAAAAAATCACATTTTAAAATGCTGTTATAGTTCTTGTCTAGGTGACTAGCACAGCTCTCACTCAAGCTTTAATGTGGTTATTATATCACAGTGAAATAAACTTTTACAAATTTATCATTTTCTGGGAAACAAGTTAAAAGTACGCCTATCAGAAGCTGCTATCTACTAGAGAAAATTCAAGATACAATAAAATCAAGTCTAACAGAGCCAAAGAAAATGCAACCGGAATTCAATTAAACTTATAAACTCTCCTATAACTAATAAATTAACATTATGTAAGTTCATGCACCATCATATAACTAATAAACTGTAAAATCATATAAGCACTTCCTCTTATCATTAGTGAAAAAAATATTTTCTTTACGCATTTGCAAGGACTTTAAAATAAAATCTTAACCAGTACAGCATAATTCCAAACTCTCCTATAACTAATAAATTAACATTATGTAAGTTCATGCACCATCATATAACTAATAAACTGTAAAATCATATAAGCACTTCCTCTTATCATTAGTGAAAAAAATATTTTCTTTACGCATTTGCAAGGACTTTAAAATAAAATCTTAACCAGTACAGCATAATTCCCCAGTACAGCACATTCCCCAGTGGCTGCAGGAGGTGCTGCATCAGCTGTGTCTGAGGCTTCCACCCAGACAGACCCTCAGACAGCAGATGCAGCTCTGCAGGTGTCAGGCTGCAGGGAGTGCCTGGGGCCTCTCCG